CTTGAAAAAATAATAATTTGAATAGCTCATTAAAAAATTTGGCCATATTTTCAAATTTTGGGTGGAATTCAACAACAAAAATTATAAAAATCTCATTAAATTTGACTCTTACGAACATGATTTTTTTGTGAGAAGATGTATTTTTATGAGCTTAAAACTTAAATTAAATACTTCAAGCCCGCAACTCTGGGTGGGCCTGAACAGTAGTCTAGTTGGGCCTTGTGTTAACCGTAGTTAATTCTAACTTTCAGTTCTAGTTGGGCCTCGTAAAAAGTAGTCTGATATTTTTCCCAAGACGAGTACTAGAGATTCTATTTGCATCTAAAAAATTATTAAATATGTATAATTCCTCAATATACTATATTAAATTATTTAGAATTATAATTTACTTTTTATATATATATATACTCCCTCTTTTTAAAATATTAGTCTTTTATTTCATTTTTTATTGTCTCAAAATATTAGTCTCTCTTCAAAAATCAAGTACAAAAATAATATAAATTTCTTATTTTATCCTTCTTTTAAATTAATAAATAATATAAAAATTACAATTATGATATTGATATTCCCAAAAAATATACTATCAAAAGGGTAATTTTGAAAAATTAACTTTTTTCAAATGTAATAATTATACTACTAAAAAAAGTTGAATTTCTCAAAAGGAACCAATATTTTGGAACGGAAAGAGTAATTCTTTCAAATTCTTATTTCAAACTGAGAAGATATGAGAAATAGAATTTTTTTTTTTTTTCCGCACTTTGTGTTGTATAATTGTTGAGAGAGAGAGAGAGAGAGAGAATTGATGGAGGTGCGTGGGGGCTATGGAAGTGACTGTGGGAAGTGTGTGAGTACATATTTGGAACACCTTTGTTCTGGGTTGAGGCAGGTGGGGACCACATAGAGTGTATAAGCACATGATATAATAAATAACTAAAATCCTTGATTTGCTGAATAAAATATATTATGGATTTTAATATTTGTGATGTTTGAATTGCAAATAAAAACCACTAAAGTATCCTTTGGAAAGAGTTAAAGTAGATTTTTTTTTTTTTATTATTATTTTAGTCATAAAAAATAAAATAGGTTATTTTAATTACAACAAACAAAACATCACATTCAATTCATAATCATTACACTCTTCTCTCACAAAAAAATTCAAAAAACCCTTCGTAAACCAAACTTTTTAACCCAGACTAAAATAATCAAAAAAATCAAACAGTAAATCTATTTTCCAAACCAACCCTTAATCTTTATTATTATTATGATTGTAATTTATACCAAATAAAAAAACAATAAGAACACTAAATCCAACCATAAATACCACCATTTCCCATCAGTAATGATGGAGATCTTTACAAAACACAGGTTCGTTTGGTTTGAATTTCGGAAAAATTTTTGGGAAATTTTCTCTACAAATAAGTTTTTAAAAGTAATGAAACTAAACAAATTTTCTCAAAACTTGTAAACCAAACAAGTTTTCCAAACAAATCTCTCTCTTTCACACACATCAAATCAATCACTTTTTTCAAAACTCTTTCTCAAAATAATTTTTCAAAACATCTTTTGAAAAAAACCGAACCAAACAACTTTTCGTACTTTTTATCTCTAAAACACATCTCTCAAACACAAACCAAACATACCCACAATTTTCCAATCTCAAAATAATTTGAATAAGGAAAATGTTTGATAATCTAAAATTTTGTGATTCAAATAACTTAAATATATCAAAACGACATCATTTTATACTAAAAATAACATCGTTTCAAATAATTTGAGTAATTTAAATCACAAAATTTTGAACTATTTAACATTATTATTTGAATAATTTATATCATTATTAGACACAATCCTTTTAAAAAATTTAAATACATCATTAATCAATACATTAATAATTATTTATATCAGTAATTATTTATATCATTATTAGACACATTCTCGTCGTCGTCACTTCTCTCTCTGCCTCTCTACTTCTGTCTGAATTCTCAACCCCACAAAAATCCTCAACCGCTCCTCTTCTTTCTCTCTCCAAAACCTTCACAACAATGGCGGCGACATCTTCGTGGCAGCCCCAGGAAGAAGGGTTCATAGAGATCTGTGGCTTACTCAAAAAACAGATGTCTCCGACTTCCGATAAGTCTCAGATTTTGCAGCAACTCCATCACTACTCTCAGTACCCCGAGTTCAATAACTAGGGCCATTTCCCAATATAAGCCATTTTTGTATCGTATTTCCAAAACTTTTTGCAGCAACTCCATCACTACTCTCAGTACCCCGAGTTCAATAACTACCTTGCTTTTATCCTCGCGCGTGCCGAGGTACCACTCCCAATTGTTTGTTTCTTGAGAAAATTGGCGTCATTCTCTTATTGGGTTTGTTGTGTATGGTGTGTTATTGTTCAAGTGTTTGGTATTTTTTTGTTTGAATGGGTTGGGTTGGGTTGGGATTTTTATATGATGCTGTTCGATCGAGTAAGGGTTAACACGTGGATAATGTTGATAGAATTGGTTTTGGGTTGGATTCTTCAATTGCCAATGCTTTGCCCAATTTTTCTTCTTGCTCAATTCAGACGTAAAAACAGCTTTTTTTTTTTTGGGGATAATTATACAAAGACCGTCCCAACTATTAGCAATTTTATTTTGGTACATTAACAACTATGGAAATCACTGGAATACTATTACACACCCCTTTTGGAGGGGTATAGAGGGGTAAAAGTGATAATTTTTGTAGTTGGGGGATCAAACTATACAGGTTCATATACGAGGGATCAAGTGATATTTGTAATAGTTGAGGGGTATTAATGTAATTAACTTTTAAAAAAAAAATCTTAGTCTATGTTTTTTCTTCTGGTTTTGTTGTTTTGTTGTTTTTTATTAAGGGTTGGGGTTGTCATGTTTTCGCATCTCAATATGGAAAAATTGTAGGGGTCTGTGGGCCCATCACGAGTCCCATTTAGATGATCCGAATCGTTTGTTTTGTAGGACCCTCAATGTATATCATCCATGAAACAAATTATGTGGATTTGATAATTGTAACTTTTTTATTGTATCATGTTTGTCTCTAAAAAATAGATGGTATATTTTAAAAAATGTATTTGCTGTCTATTTTTTCGGAGACAAATACAATAAATAGAAAATGTTACAATTATTGGATTGTACTAATTTTTTTCATGGATGATATACATTGAGAGCCCTACAAAATGAGCGGTTTGGATCATTGAAACGGACTCATGGTGGGTCTTATGAACCCCTCAAGTTCTCTTATGTTGAGATGTGACCTTGAGAATAGCCAAACCCTTTTGTGGATGCTGATTTCTGACCACACTGCCTATCAGGTACTCAGCTAGAGAGCACCGGCAGAATAGATTAAGTTCGAACAACCTTATCTGCTGGTGGTTCGTCCACCTGGGGGCACTCCGACGATCAAGTCAGTACTCAATTATCTTTTAAAGATAGCAAACAGTGCTTAACTCATTAGTCATAATACAAAAAGTATAGCTTAGACCTATAAGGGTGCCTTACTTTTATAGCCAGTACTAACTTGATCCCTGTAGAAGTCTAGCTTCTCTTGGATTCTGGCTCAATGCTCATCCTGGACTCTCTAATAGATAAAGATAAAGTGCTTGTTTGGTTTGTATTTGAGAAACATGTTTTGAGATAAAAAGTACGAAAATTTGTTTGGTTTGGTTTTTTTTCAAAAGATGTTTTGAAAAATTATTTTGAGAGAGAGTTTTGAAAAAAGTGATTGATTTGATGTTTATGAGAGGGAGATTTGTTTGGAAAACTTGTAAGAGCATCTCCAATGGTAATAGGCATTTTACCTATCTAAATATTACTATAAAGTATATATTTTATTTTGCCTATCAACTATTTTATGTTTCTACTCCAACCATGCTCTTTATTTTAGCTATTTATCTAAATACTATTAATTTTATAAAATGCCACATCAGCAACAAAGATGGAGGGAAATGATCCTAATGATTAAATATATTTTGCCTAGTCTTGAAGGCTAGCTACATGTAGCTAGTGAATGTGAGTTGAGCTAAAATGCCTAATCATATGCCTAGTGCATTGGAGTTGAAAAAAATGAGTTATACTAGGCATTTTGACTAACAAGCATGATATGCCTAGTGGGTTGGAGATGCTCTAAACCAAACAAGTTTTGGAAAAAAATTTTGAGAAAATTTGTTTGGTTTGATTACTTTTGAAAACTTATTTATAGAGAATTTTTTTCAAAATTTTTTGAGAAACACAAACCAAACAAGGCCAAACTCTCTAAGAGTTTTATCCTTATCCAGGCTGAGGTCCTCCCCCATTCTAGGATTCTTATAGCTTATCCGTTCATTTCGGATTTCGGTATCTCCGCAGATAACCTCGGCCTAGCCGAGATTACCTTGGCACCATGACCAGGACACGTGGCACCTCGGCTGGCACTTCGGTGTCACCTTGGCCACGTGTTGTTATTCACAAAAATATGCCCCCACACCTTTTATTAATTACACCAAAACCTCTCAACTTTTAGCGCAAATGCCACTTTTCGAAGGGGTGAAAGTGATGATTTTTATAGTTGAGGTGTCAAATTGTCGTGTTTATGGATAAGGTGTAAGATAATATTCCGTGGAAGTGAAGCATTTTTGTAGTTGAGAGGTCAAAATGTTCAGTTCCTAGATTAGTGCTAAGATGATATTATCCTTTTTTTTATTTATTATAATTTTTAATTTTTTTGTTACTGCCTGCCCTTCATCCTTCAATCAAGAAATGATTAACATGTGAATAATATCAATGAAATTGGTTGTTGAATTTCTTTCAACCGTGAATGCTTTGCTCCACTTTTATTCATGTTTAATTCGGACTTCAATCACATTTCTTTTATTTTGTTTATCTTTTTCTGTTGTAATGTCCCATTTGACAGGTTCTAAACATTGTTATGCCGTTAATTCTCTATATTTATGAACACATGTGGAGATTAGTTCTTCATAATTTCAGAGCAATTTGGGAAAAAAATGTTTTCAACAAGTATAACTTTATTGGAAATAACATTAGTTGTTTACATTAGTTTTATCAGTTGTCATACACTTTCATTTTCAGTTTGAAACATCACGAGTGTATGTAATGGCTTAAATTCATGTTAGGTTTGATCACATGCCTGCAAAACTGTCTTGGCAGACTTGGCTACTTTATTATTTTGTATTCTCTCCTGTTTGTGCTGGTTCATTAGTAGAACCATTCAGTGTTGTCAGTAGTTTGCTCCAATTAGACTGAGAGTTAGACCTTTTTTCTTTCTCTGATTAAGTAATTTACTTCTTTTGTGCCTTCTCATTTTTTTGGGGCCAAATTTTTAAGCAAGAGTAGTAGTCCATACGGTAAATTGTTTTGACAGAAAATGTAAACAATATTTGTTGAAAACTTAAAAGAGTTGTATTCTGGCAGTTACAAGATATCTTCTTGTTTTTATACTGGGAATGTGTTTTGCACACTTTTGTTACCTCTAATTTTGTTGGTGATTATTTTGCTGTTTTTTCTTCTTGTTTCGAACAAAACTATTGAAAATTTTAAACAGGGAAAACCAATGGAGGTTCGGCAGGCTGCTGGATTGCTTCTGAAGAATAACCTTAGAGCTGCCTTTAAGTCAATGGCTTCTCCATGCCAGCAGCATATAAAATCAGAGTTGTTGCCTTGTTTGGGAGCAGCAGATAGGCATATAAGGTCTACAGCTGGGACCATTATAAGTGAACTTGTTCAGATAGGGGGAGTTTTTGGATGGCCTGAGCTGCTGCATACTCTTGTCCAGTGCTTGGATAGTAACGACTTAAATCACATGGAAGGTGCTATGGATGCTTTGTCCAAGGTATGTCTCGCCTCTGAATAATTGTTAGATTTTTCTCAGTTATTTATTTTTTAAATCTTAATTTTCAATAGTGCATCAATCTTGCTTCTATCATTTGAAAAATAGTCATACTAAAAGAAATGTCTTACTATTTCTTTTGAATTGACACCTTGAGAGAAATTGATTCACACTCTTTGAGTCAACTGGACCACTACACGTGTGTTTTGTGGACTATTTGGAAGAACATAATAGGACTTTTGAGAGAACTGAGTTACCAATTTATAGTTTGAAACTACCTTATACGGACTCTTTGAAATTTTGGAGGTACCTGTATCGACACTACACGACACGGGTACGGGTGCGGGATATGGCCGGGATACGGCTCTTTACAAATGGATACGGCTATGTTCTGCCCTAAATACAGAAGAAACGAAAGAGGAGAGAGCAAGGAGAGAATCAGGCCTTGTTTGGTTTGTATTTGAGAAACATGTTTTGAGATAAAAAGTACGAAAATTTGTTTGGTTTGATTTTTTTTCAAAAGATGTTTTGAAAAATTATTTTGAGAGAGAGTTTTAAAAAAAGTGATTGATTTGATGTGTATGAGAGAGAGATTTGTTTGGAAAATTTGTAAACCAAACAAGTTTTGGAAAATTTTTTTGGGAAAATTTGTTTGGTTTGATTACTTTTGAAAACTTATTTGTAGAGAATTTTTTTCAAAATTTTTTAAGAAACACAAACCAAACAAGGCCTCAGTCTTCGTCGATCTGGTCTTTTCTGTCTTCTTCGATCTTGTCTCTCGTGTTCTTCTCTGTTGATCTCCTCTTCTTTCTCAGTCGATCTATCTTCTTCTCTTCTCTCTCTCTCTCCCCCTCCCTCCTTTTTAACATGTAATAAATAAAATAATTCATCGAATTGTTTAAAAGAAATCTAATTAAATCATATATAATAAAAAAATTAAAAAAATCTATAAAGTAAAACATCTATTTTTTATTTATTATTTATTTTTTATACTTTTTTTATTTATAATATTTATATGTCAATTAAAAACAAAAAAAGAAATTATATAGATAAATTAAAAATATTATCAATACAAATAATACATAAGATAAAAAATAACTATTTAATTCATCTTTATGTAATAAATATATTTTAAAAATAACTATTTAACTTATCCCCGTACCCATATCCACATTTAGATCATATCCATGTATTCTCAATTTTTAGTTTTGAAGTGTCGAACTCCCAAATACGCACCTGCACCCGAGTCCGTGTAACGTAGGTTTGAAAGGATCTTTGTACCTTTCGTAGTTTTTTTTGGATGAGAGACGATTTTCCATTCTTTGTATTGTCTTTTGTCCATTTTATTGGAGTCTTATACATGGATGTTTAGCTTGTTGGATTCAAAGGCTTTTTGGGTGTCCAATATGTTCACCCCCCTTTTGGCACTTTTGTTGATAATGCTTTACTTATAAAAAAATAATGTCACATTTACCCTTAATGCACTAAGGTTTAATTATTCAAAGAGGAATCTCCACTTAAAGCTTGAGCATACAAAATTTTAAAATGCTAAAACTAGCTCAAGAACCCATTTTCAAATTTTCAAAAGAGAAACAAAAAGAAATGCAAATAAGAATTATGTAAATTGTGGTAATAATGTATTATTCTATTTTCATCATAAGTAGAACTAGAAGCTACACACTTGATGCATTTGGGATGAAATTAGATGCTAAGAAACATAGATACGGACACGAGACATGGATACGACATGATACAAAGTTACTTTTATTTATGATTTGGTTTTCATCATTATTAGAACTAAGATACACCCTTGATGCATTTGGGATGAAAATTAGATGCTAAGAAGCACAAATACGGACATGAGACACTAATACATAGTTGCATACATCGTACACACTAGCATAAAATTTTTCAAAATATTAGGAAATGGATAGGATGGGGACATGTCAACATATTAATATAATATATATATACATTTGGGGTTAATTACGCAGACACCCGCTCAACTGTCGTTGAAATATCACTTTACTCCCACAACTTCGAAACAATACATTTCAACTCATCAACTATAAAAAAATTGTACAAATACCCTCTTTTGGCAAGTTGATAGTGATGCAATTCTATAGTTGAGGAGTCCAAATGTCTGGTTTTGTAGTTGGGAGATTATGTATTATTCATGGTTATTAAAATTGCGATCCGGACTGTGGGATCATACGATCCTACATTGCTAAAACGATCCAGATCGTTGTAAGATCGGCGTTATAATAGGATCGCAAGTAGGATCATAAATTTTGTGATTTTTCACCTTATTTTTAATATGTATCCTTCTAATTTGTATTTTTACTTTATTTTTAATATAAAGTAGGATTTTACGATTCTCGATCTGATCCACGAGACTTGCTCACTAATCCTACCTAGGATCCTGATTTTAACAACATTATTATTCAGTGATAATTGATGAATTAACTCTATATTTTTATGCATGTACATGAAAATATAACAACTTCAATTTTTACGTTACAAACTAGTTTATATTTTATTATATCAAAATTGTAAGAATTATTTTCAACATTTTATATGCTACAAAAGATGTATGAACATAAAGTCTTAATATCTATTTTGAAAAGCTTTATACCTAAACAAATTACAAGTTATAGGCTTTATTTCCAAAAATTAAAAGCCTCAAGTAGGCATAAAGTTACATTGTTTTGATTTTAATTATTGGCTTCCGAGTTATTTTATATCCAAATCTATAATGCGTTTCATATGTGTCTAAGTGATGGACACGTGTCTAGTTAGTGTTCGCAGCATGTCCGTTTTTAAAAAGATTTAAAAAGTAATAGGATACATGTAAATGTGTGCTCGATGTGTGTCAGGGTGTGTCTAATGAGCGTTGATGTTTGACACATGTCAGACATGTACACGACACCTTCTTTGAAGTGCCCGTGGTTCTTTGATTAGATTATAGTGTGCTTTATATATATGTGTGTGCATATTATATGAAATCACTTATCCCCCCCCCCAAAAAAAAAAAAAAAAAATAAAAAAAAAAAAAAAAATTAATAGAAAGTAGATTGAAAAAAAACTAATCAACTCAAGCCTTTTTTGGTAGAAGAATCCTTCAATTTGTTTCTTCTTTTTCTTCTTCTTCTTCTCAGTCTTTCTCTTTTGTTGACTTTGACTACCTCTATGTTGCTTTTCCACTTGGGGTTGAGCTCTAATTTTAGGATGTAAATGTGTGTGCTATGAAGCATGGACACCTCTCCAGAGGTTGTGTATAGGTGTCGGACACAGATATGCGCCGGACACGATTCGAACACGTGTTGGGCACGTTGGGGCACGTTGAGGATATGCGAGGGACACGTTGAAGACACGCTAGGGACAAGTTGAGGACACGTTAGGGACACGCTGAGTGCTATTTTTTTCAAAAAAAATTAAAATTTTTAATTTTTTACTAAAATTGCATACCTAAGATCATCTCCAACAGTGAATCAAATTCATTATCAGATTTGAATTTGGTGAAAATATATCACTTTTATGGCTCCAATGGTTTCACCAAACGAATATCAAATTGAGAATCTACCAAAAGTTTCACTAAAATGAGAAGCGGAGCAGATTTCACCAAAACACTGTGCGTTTACATTGAAAGTGGGCCCACTGGACAACCGGCCGGACGTCCAGCCGGATGTCCTACCGATCGTCCCATGGGTCGTCCTTGCTTCCAAAATCCCCGAAAACCGACTTGCCGAGGAATTCCTAGAGTGCCTGCCAAATGAAGGGTGAGAAGGAGACTCCATTGGACTGTTGTAATTCGGAGTTGGCTACATCGTTGAGGACTTGTCGCCATCTTGCGAGTCTCTGGAAATTGAAATTTTAGAGAGTGAAGATTTATGATACCCAAAAAGTTAACAAATTTTGAAAAGATTTATGATACCCAAAAAATTTTAAACTGAACATTGAAATTTTAGAGAGTGAAGAGAATAAATTGGCAGTGAAATTGGGTAAAGAGGAAGAGATACAAAATAACAGTCTAACACTCGGTTTTTTTGCAGAATCAGAGACAGAATTGAAGCAACTAACTAAATGCAGTTGATGAAGAATGTAATGAACAAACTATCAAAGAAACTACAAAACCCACTACTTGAATTACATATAAAATGATAGAAACATGTAATACAACCCAAATCTTTAGAAAAGAAAACAGAATTCAGAACTTGGCTTGAATAAACCTGGAACCAAAACAACAATTCACCTCGATATCTCTCTCTCTAGAATGTGTAATGGGCAAGAAAGAGAAAGGGGTTTATGGGTTACTTTCGAAAGGGGTGTATATTTCGAGGAATTCGTCGACAAGTCGGTTTTGATGGAGTTGTTTTTAGAGGTGTGTTTGATTCAAATCATGTTATGAATCAAAAGATGTACGCTAGTTGTTTGATGAATTGCTCGAACCAAATGAAAGGAAAAAAAAAAAATTCGCTTGTCCGGTCGACCAGCCTGTCGTCCCGCCGGATGTCCCTTGTCTTTTGATGAAAACCATTGGAGCCGCTCGTATCAGATCGAGAAACTTGCCTTTTTTTTTTAATTAAATTTGGTGAAAAAATAGCTGAATCGTTGGAAATGCTCTAAGACCATTGCATTAGATTTGTCATCAGATTTGAATTTGATGAAAAAAGTCACTTTTTCTCTCTCCAATGGTTTCACCAAACTGATATCAAACTGAGAACGGAGCAAAAGTTTCATCAAACTGAGAACCTGTGTGAGATTTCACCATTTCACTGTGCATTTATGTTGGTGGTGGATGTTCGGCCGGTTGACCCACCAGTCGACCGGCATTGCTTCAATCTGCTTCATACATAATTGGTGCTTCATACATAACTGGTTTGTATTGGGTAACTTCTTGGGTCCACTTTCTATGCTCTCACTACTTCACCCTCTCTTTCTCTCTTCGATCTCATACCCATCTCCATCATCGTTATCATCATCATCTCTCACTCTCTCTCTCTTACCTGTTATAACTGAAAAAAACCCAGACCAGACTCTCTACTATCTTCTCACAGATCCAGCTCACCACCCATATCTTTGTCTCTTGTTTGTGTTCAAATATAGGTATGTATGTTGGAGGATTCAAATTTCTAATCAAACCCATGATTCCAGTGGATTTCTTGTGCTATTTGTTATTTACAATTTTGTTTTGGGTTTGTTCTGTTTCATTTGTTTGCAGTTTCTGTGTGAATTCCAGTGGATTTTCAGTGATGGTTGGAAGTGGTTGGTACATGGATAATGTGTTTATATCAGGTTTTGAAGGAAATCATTATTGGAGGCAACCAAAAATGGAAAATATGTAATGGAGGGAAAAAGAAATAATAAACGTATTGGGAACAGAAAGGGAGGGGAAAAAAAAAATTTAGTTGCCTACCCGGTCGACAGGCTGGTCGTCCCACTGGACGTCCCCTTTGTTTTGATGCACGCTAGTAAACGGTTGGAGTTGTCGTATTAAATTGAGAAAATTACCTTTTTTTTACTCAAATTTGGTGAAAATTTACTGAACCGTTGGAGATGCTCTAAGGTTGATAAATTTGATAAAATTAAATATTTGACATAAAATAAATATTAAATATTTAAAAATATATATAATAAAAATATATTTTGAACATGTCCCCGACGTGTTGTGTCCTGCATTTTTTGAGAATTTATGTGTCCATGTCATGTCAGGTGTCCGTACTTCTTAGTGTGTGTGTGCTTGTGAATTTGTTTATTCTTTATCATTACTCTTATCTTATGTTTGTAATTCCTGGAGTTGGTGACAGTGAGTAATCATTGTAATTGCTCTTGAACAAAATCTACATTCTTGCAAGGACAATAGTAGCTTCTTCTTCTTCTATAAATGTTTCTCTTTAATGCATGGATGATGTGTGCAACGCAGATTTGTGAGGATATACCTCAAGTGCTTGATTCAGAGATGCCTGGATTAACTGAGCGACCCATTAATGTATTCCTTCCTAGATTACTTCAGGTGACAGAATTATTTCCTTTGTCAGAGTTGCATGGTTATAATTCCAAAGTTTGCTTTAGGATTTGAGCTCCTCTTTTCTTTTATATTGCGACATGGTTTTTCTCCAAGCAGTTTTTTCAGTCTTCACATGCCTCACTGAGGAAGCTTTCATTGGGTTCTGTAAATCAATTCATTATGTTGATGCCCCAAGTGAGTACAACTGTTGTTATTTATTTATGTACTAATTTTTTCTGTATTAAATCCATGTTCTCATGGGACCTAATCAAAGTGTTGTTGGAGGATTTGTTACTCATTATGAAGTGTTATCTGCTTGCAGGTTTTATATTTGTCCATGGATAAATATCTGCAAGGTTTGTTCATTCTTGCAAATGACCCTGCTGCAGATGTGCGGAAATTGGTAAGTTGTTTATCCAATTGGCATCAACTAATTGTTGTTGTTGTTGTTGCCGCCACTGCTGCTGCTGTGACTATTGTGATTATTATTGATAAAGTATTACTAATTTACTGCTGTGAATATTATTAAAACCCTTCCTTTTATGGTTTACACCAAACTATTGGGTAATTATAGCTTGCTTTCTTGTGCAACAATTCATTTGGATCCATTTGTCCGAGCAGGTGTCTGGTCATTTCTTATTGTTTGCCTGCCTACTTGTATGCTACTTGCCTACAATAAAATTAGTTGAAAATAACATGCATTATGCATTATGAACTGTTTAATTGAAAAACCGAATAAAGTGTTAGTATGTAGAAACCCCTTTTGGTATTTGTTCCTTGGTGCCTGGTGGTTACGTTGGTGTAAAGTAATTATATATCATGATTTGAGTCCTTGGACACATGAAACTTTATATTTCATTTTTCATTTTTCATTTTTTTTTTCTGGTTGGGTAGTGAAGGTGGGGGGTAGGCATTGCTATTTGTATTTGATATTGAAGCACCACAACATCTGGACGACCGGACTGTTTGTCTATCTTTCTTTCTTTCTTTCTTTCTTCTTTTTTTTTGTGCTTTTGCTTGCTTCAAAGGTTGTATTGTGTTCAAGAGTTTCCATATTTGAGCTTCTTCGTTATTCTGCAATGTGGAACGTTATCGAAATCTGTTTTGTTTTATGTAAGACTTTGCAGGGATTTCATCTATTTGTCGCTTTCATGTATAGGTCTGTGCAGCATTCGTTCAGTTAATTGAAGTTCGTCCAGCTTTCTTGGAGGTGGGAAATTGTCCTGCTTTATATGAAGTCTTCCTTGCTGATACCCTTTCACTTGTTTTCATTTCTTTCGATTGTTGAAGCTAAAAATTGAATTAATACAATTCACTTCTTTGATTTTACATCTTACCTACTACATTACACTATCTACTCCCATCTCTTCCTCATTTCTTTGTTTGTTGTTCCTGATGTGATATATATATCGTATACAGCCACATCTGAGGAATGTAATTGAATATATGTTGCAAGTCAACAAGGACCCTGACGATGAGGTCTCCCTTGAAGCCTGTGAATTTTGGTAATTCCATTTTGTGAACTCTATTTCTAAATGATGTCATACAATTCTGTGTATGTAAGAGTGGTGGAACATGTTTAGGTGCTCCATATTTCTTTTATTAATTAGTTTATTTGTAGCTGGCTGGCTTATGCTCAATTTATATTGGTCCCCTCAGATGGTCAATTACAAAGTCTACTCACTTATGTTTATCATGACTTTGTCTAAAGTGAGATTATGGAGAGATATGGAAATTATTTTGATAGGCAGCTCATCCTGCGTCTTAGATGATTGATTCCAATATGTAATATGAATTGGTTATAAAGCTGATAGTTATTTTATTTGAATATCATTTGGGAAGATATATTCTGAGGAAATAATGGAAATATTATTTTGCTGTGGCAGTGTGCTGCAGCTGTAATGGCTATATTGTTTTGTATACTGATATGATGAATTGACAAGTGGATATCTGTATGTATACATAGAGATACTCCTTTTTCTTAGAAGATGCAAATTCCCTTTTGGTCATGTTCCTCCCTTCTTCTCCTCCTTTATTTAATTATATATTTATTCATTTTTTTACTTTTGTAAATTGTTCTGTCATGTTTCTGTATCAAGGTAAGGCTTTTAGTTGGTTGTGTACTAGAGGATAGAGATACTCCTTTTTCTTAGAAGATGCGAATTCCCGTTTGGTCATGTTCCTCCCTTCTCCTCCTTTATTTAATTATATATGTATTAATTTTTTTACTTTTGTAAATTGTTCCTTGTCGTGTTTCTGTATCAAGGTAAGGCTTTTAGATGGTTGTGTACTAGAGGTTAGCTCATGGTTATGCATGCTTCTTAGCTCAATGATCTGAATTGTTCATCTACTACGGCCCATTGAGCCAACCATCAATGTGAAAAAAATCAGGTTGATTGGACATTAGTAGCTATATGATTAGATCACATTTATCTTAAAAAATGGATGACAAGTGTTATTTTGAGAATAGACCGTCCATTTTCTTTAAGGCAAATGTGATCCGATTATGTGGCTACTGATGCTTAGTCATCTTTTGTTTGTTTGTTTGTTTTTGTGTGTGTGCATAGATGCTCTGCTCAGGAGGCCCTACAAGATGATTTGTTCGAATCATCGAGATAAGTCCCAAGCCAAGATGGATCTACCGGGGCCCAACAAACACCTCTCTAGTTGGCTTCCCAATTGGAGAGAATCCATTCCCTAAGTTTGAGGAATTTTTATGAGGTGTGATGTTGGAGAGGAACCTTGTTAATAGACACCAAGTTCACGAATGGTTTGAGACAAGAGATTAAGGGAGAGGGCAATTTGCACATCTCTAACTCATTGAAAGAAGCTTATCATAAGGTTTTAGGGATAAAAAGTGTCATCATTGTCATGATAAGGGGCATATTTCTTCTTGGCATTGCGTCGTACTTCGAACATTGATAATGAGTTGGAGGAATATGTAGGAGAGGATATTGACCAGGTAAGTTGACCCTTTGGAGGACCTTTTAGAGTGTGAGAAAGTGGATTTTCAAGATAATTTGGGGAATGGGTATTTACCCACATAAGGTATGAAGATTGAAACTGTAACAGTATTTTCGATACATTCGTAAAATACAGGGATAAGGTGTGTAAGGTTCGTAATTGATGGTGAGCGTACCATGAATGTGGTCGTCAAACAAATTTTTGGTAAGTTGAAGTTGTAGCCTGAGGAACATTCCTAACCATTTAGGGTTTGTTTGGGTGTATAAGACTTTGTTACATGTCACAGAAGGGTGACTATTTTGAGAGTATTTTGTGGGATGTCCTGCTCATGGATGTTGCACAAGTGTTCTTGTCACCCTTGGTTTTATGATAAATTGTACTTATTATGTGAGAGAGAATAACTGTGTTTAATTATGGCGGTAAGACTATAATGTTAAAACCTTAAAATCCACCAAGAAGTGTAACAGTGCAAATCACAAGTCTTCTTCTTGGGCATTGAACACACTAAACCTATTGTTAAGGAATCAGGGAGTTCACAAGTGAACAACAATACCAGTCCAATCCATTAGGGAGAAACTTTAGAGTACATAGACACCATGTCAAGGCCTAACATACATTATTTGAAACTCATACCCACTTAAAAACTTAAGTCTATAAGTGGAGAGCTCATCTAATGTATATTAAGACCTATCTCTACTTTTTATCCGATGTGGGACTCCTATTTTCATACATACTCTAACAATCTCCCCCCCATGTGTGAACCAAACATTGGGCATCTTGATCTATCATCTGCAAGTTCATCATAGATCATACGCCCCCACCCTTAATCTTGATCTATAACTCTCCAACATCAAATCCAACTTGGGCCACCCACACACACTCCATTGTGAGCCACACCATACTCCATTGAGAGCCACCTTGCCGCAATCCAACCTCCATGTGTACCAAGAATATTGCTCCATCAAGAGTCACCATGGATTTTTTTTCTTGCTCCATCAAGAGTTTTCTGTGCAAGCCTAAGTCCACCAACATCGATGCTTCAGGAGAGTCCGCCCATAGATTTTCTGCCATTGGCTTTGATACTAGTTGTTAGGGAATCAGGGAGCCCATAAGCGCACATCAATACCGGCCCAATCCATTATGGAGAAACTCTAGAGTCCACAGACATCACAACAAGGTCCAACATACATTATTTGGAACTCATACCCACTTAAAAGCTTAAGCATATAAGTGGAGAGCCCATCTAATGTATATTAAGACCCGCCTCTTTTACTTTTTATCCAACGTGGGACTCCTACCTTCACATATGCTCCAACACCTTCATGTCCTGACCAATGGAAAATTTGAGAAAATATACTAGAGGAGTTTTTCATGTTGCATCTGAATATATAGTTGACCTTTCTCCCGAGGTCAACAAGTTTTTGAGGTAATTTCAAGATGTGACGCCAGAATAATGTGATGAGTTGCCACCCATGAGGGATATTCAACATACCACAGATCTTGTAAGCTATATCAAACACCACGATGGCCTATTATGTGGAAAGCTTTTGTGATCACTTGCGGAAGTCGAGGGCAAAAAAAAAAAAAAAAAAAAAAAAATATTTTTTTTTGTTGACGAAAAAATCTATTTTGTTGCTGACGAAAAAAAATAAAAAAAATAATAATAATAAAAAAACCACTTGCATCGATTTTCATGTCATGGCAATTGTATTCCAAAGTTTTCGTGTGGAAAACCGTAGAAACCTTGACTTATGCTGCAGTATTAATTTAATTATAAACAAAAACCGTAGAAACCTTGACTTATGCTGCAGTATTAATTTAATTATAAACAAAATTTATGATTTTCGAGTCACTCAACTTTCGAATTTTGAGTTTTTTCAAGCTGTTTTTTTATTTATTTTAATATTGATTATGATTCACAGGTCTGCATATTGTGGCACTGAGTTACCACCTGAGAACCTAAGAGAATTCTTGCCTCACCTAATTCCAGTATAGTTCAAACTGTCATTCTTCTTCTCTTTGTATTTTTTAACCAAACAGTGTTCAATGTTGGTCGGATGTGTGCCTCAATTTTGTAGATTTTGTTGTCGAACATGGTTTATGCTGATGATGATGAGTCACTTGTGGTTTCGGAGGTTAGTTTTTCTTCATCATCTTGTGTTTCAATTTATTTCGAGTTGGCACTTAACTTGAATTCATTCCTTACCTAATATCAGTAAAAAATTGCAGGAGGATGGGTCTCTGCCAGATCGAGATCAGGTACAATTTTAATTGTTGATTTTCTGGATAATCTCCATTAGTTTTCTCAAAATATCCTGCTCAGTTTATTGTCTTTATAAACCTATTTTCATTAAACCTTTGCCTAACAGGATCTGAGGCCCCGCTTTCATTCATCACGTTTTCATGGATCTGAGAATGCAGAAGATGAAGTACGCTTTTAACCACATTATCTTTTCTTAGTTGATCATTAAAATTGTTTGAACAATCTTTTTGAATCAACAAATATGGCTCTGATTGCTTTTGTTTGAACTCTGATGGGTGAATGAGGTCATTGGATAAAATTTCTGTTACTAAATAATTTTAGATTTTGTAATTACAGGACGATGACGTAGTCAATATTTGGAATTTACGGAAGTGCAGTGCAGCTGCTCTAGATATTCTCTCAAATATGTTTGGTGATGAGATTTTACCAACATTAATGCCTATAGTTCAGGTAACTATCAATTTCATAATTAAACTCAAAGTTCAATTTGCTGGGTTGCCCCACTGTTGTTTCTTCTCCCAAGTTCTGGTATTGATTTCTAAAGGCATCATGTGCCAGCTTTGTTTTCTTGTCCTTACTACTAGCTGGATGGTAAGCAAGGCTAAAACTTTTTAACTGATCTGAAATCTACATGGTTTCATAAACTGCAAATTTGGATTTGCAGCATCCTTTTCTTAGGTTGTGGAGGCAACATTCTTTCTATGCATGAGTTCAGGGATTTTTCCTCTGGCTCTTTTTCAAAATTTTGTTGAAAATCTGCTTCATTCATTTTCAATTATTATGAATAAAAGTTAAACCAAGTCCTGCATCTCATTTGTGTCGAGGTGCAGGTTGTCATAATAATATTTTACATGTGATGCAGATAAATTCTTCATAAGTTGGAAAATTTTGAGAATGATTAAGTGTTTGTTGAGTTGAACTGAGTTGAAGCTGTTTTGTAATAAACAATCTTGAATTTAAGTTAAAATGTAAATATAAATTAAGATATATCATATATGCAAACGATCAAAAGAGTGAAATTTTGAGAATTTAGGAATAATAAAATCGAAAGGCTTACGAATTTTATCAATAATTGATGGCAGCTGCTAGCGTCAACTAGAATTTGTTGTTCTAATACTCAATTACTGGTTTTTGAAAGGAAGCTGCGAAGCTAGCTTGTTATTCTTCAAAATTACCTTTTCAGGAATGGAAATTTACCATGAATGTCAACTTCTTTCTTCTCTGGATTTTCTTACGGAGTAGTAATAAGATAAAAGTAAAAGAAGGAATAAACTGCAATCACTGTCACTCCATTATTTTGTTGTTCAGATGTGTGTACTGATGGGAAGTTAAACCGATGTGAACTAAGAAGCATGGACATGGACACACCAACACGCAAATTTTCAAAAAATGTAGGACACGATACATGGGGGACACGTGCAAAATATATGATTATATGTCATAGATATAAGGATAATTAATTATTACATAGCATATATATGAATATAATAAATTTTAAAGTCTAAAGTTTGAGAATAGATATAATTTTACATTTTTATTTTATCATTGGATTCCAAGTAATTTTATTCGTGTTTTGTGTATGACTAAATGTTGGGAAGTGTCCGATGAGTGTTGTGTCATGGAGTGACGGTGTCGGACACTACACATTACTTTTTTAGAAGTGTCCGTGCTTTTTAGGATATGAATTTGATTCATTGTTGATTGCTATGCAAGCTATGTACTTGTGGTTGAGATAAGTATTTGTTATGGTGTCGAATATTTATTTTCTTTTCTTTGAGTTTCTGCAGTCTAGGTTATCCACTACTGATGATGTTGCCTGGAAAGAAAGGGAAGCCGCAGTTTTAGCTCTTGGTGCCATAGCAGAGGGTTGCATCAATGGCCTTTATCCCCATTTATCAGAGGTAATCTTAATTTTGTAGTTAGATGCTGATTCACTTAGTTTTGAAGATGCTAATTCATGCGTTAAACAATTGGGTGTGAATACAATGTGTATGTATGTATGTCTTTTGGTTTGAGTCTCTCGGTGTTTCTGCTTTTGCTGCAGTTTTTGGAGTTTGTATCTTCTTATTTGTGGTTAGTCTTATTTTTGACTTAGAAAATATGAAGAAGAAGAACTCCGAAAATATGAGGAACAGTTTTTGGAGTTTGTATCTTCTTATTTGTGGTTAGTCTTATTTTTGTATGCATTTGTGTGTATATTTGCTTGTTTAGTTGCATTGATATTATGTAGGCTTTGTAGCCAAAATATTATTTGGACATGAAATGTTCCCTTTGCTTAAGAAGCTGGCCAGGTTTCCACAACTGATGTGTATTGTGTGCCTAACGTGTTATTGCATCTGTCATATTGTATACTCAGTATACTCTTATTGGTGTCATTCATTTCACATTCTAATGAACATTTACAAATCATGTGCAGATTGTTGCATTTCTTACCCCACGCTTAGATGATAAGTTTCCTTTGATACGAAGTATCTCATGTTGGACAGTTTCACGTTTCAGCAAGTTCATTATTCAGGTATGAGTACATTATATTTCAAAGTGTGTTCGTATTATTTTTTATGCATTCTCGTGCTGTTTATGCCTTGTGAATGGATAACAAATAATGAAAACAAGAATAGAGGATTTTCAATGAACCCCAAGACACACCCAGAGGCAATACACCCTCTGTATAGAGCAAGACATGCCTTAGCCTACATAACATTTAAACCTCTCACAGCTTGAAAGGCTAGGCAAAGCATGATTAAGATCTTGAATGAGTTACAAATGAATAGCCATGAAAACCAACCTATCCAACCCCAGCCTAATTAAAGGGCATTACATTGCATTGAAAATGAACAAACACAGTGGGCCATCAAAATCTATGACATGGCCACCCATTTCATTAGATCAATGAAACAAAATCCCTTGCTGGTCGCTACATAACCACCCATGCATGGGAACCTAGGAAGTCCTACCCAAAAACAGAACAATGCTCAGCTTTCTCTGAGAGAAGTAACCACGTGTCAGCACCAAGAGAGAATTTCTGAAAGCATTGGGTCAATCAACCAAACTGCAAGCCACACCCCTCCAAACACTACACTGACAGCAGTGTGTATTACCCACATACGTGCTTCAACAGTGAATGGAACTATGTATTATCTGGCTATACAACCCTACACTGCCCCTCTCTTCTTCTGCAGAGATCATAGGCCCAATAAAGTCCTACAAACGAAAACAACCACAGCTGACTAGTAGAAGTATTCACTAGTTAGTCCAAAGCATGCACTGGTTGTTGGTTGCCCCACCGGAGAAGGATGCACCTGTTACTGGCCATCCATAGCCAGGTGAAGAAGCTCGCACAGAACATCACCCATTGTCCCATAGAATTCTAGAGCAGAAAATGTCCACCACACAGCACACAAGCCTAGAAACCACTGTAGCCTAAAACCTCCCTCCCGCAGCAAAGTACTTCACAACTCTACGATGGTGCAACACATGGCACTCTGCTTCAAAAAGCTACCCAACACCATAGAGAAGGGAAAGAAAGGAGGTCGGAATAAAACTACCTGTGGACAACCCAAAGCACAGCTAGGATGAGGACTGACTGGATCCTAGAGAACCTGGACCGGGGAAGAGAATGTTAGACCCACAGAGTATAGATATTACAAATAACGGACAAGGGAATGGGGACACCCGAGAAATAACCCTCTAAATATAAAAACATGATGCTTGAGGGAAACCACACAACCCTCAAAGATTTGACAATGAAGCATATGGGCATAGGGGCACAGTGAGTTTCTCTATGGCTTTGGAGAAAAAAATAAAGACTCTTCTTTTTATTTTTTCTATAATTAGTATCTGAGCACTGATTTAGATATAATGCACTTTTCAAGATATATTTATGTAACTAGGGTATGCATATGTGACCAAGACAGGCTTACGTTGATTAGAAGTGTTGGAACTCCAAAAGGGTTTTGAGATTGATGAGCATAGTACCTACAGAATTAGTGTAAGATGGGTGATAAGAGTGTAAATTGGTAAGACAAGGGATGGTGGAACCATGAAACAGAGACACGGATAGAAGTAGAATTAAGTTCATGTGTGAGAATCTAGATTTAGCTAAGAATAATTTCTGAACCCAGTAATTTGTTTGGTTGTTTTTTTCCAGAGTATTAATCATCAAGAAGGCCGTGAGCAATTTGATGAAGTTCTGATGGGGATTCTAAGAAGGATATTGGATGATAACAAGCGGGTGCAAGAGGCTGCTTGTTCAGCTTTTGCAACTCTTGAAGAGGTTCTTGCTGAAAATGGAGCTTACCGATTGTATTTCTGTTTTTCAAATTCAAATGGTGGTTTATTTTATTTGCAGGAGGCTGCCGAAGAGTTGGCACCGCGCTTGGAAATTATTCTGCAACATCTAATGTGTGCTTTTGGAAAATATCAGGTTGTTTTTTTGTACCTTATATTCACTAAGATCATCTTGATTCATCATTATGTTGTTAACCTCTTGCTTACATATAGAAGATTACATCCTGCTTTATTTTTACTGCCTTAACTTCTTTTTTATTGTGTGTGATTATTCTAGAGGCGGAACCTCCAAATTGTATATGATGCCATTGGAACTCTAGCAGATGCTGTTGGAGGGGAATTAAATCAGGTAGTCTATTATTATTGTTCTTTTATTATTATAAGTAGATCAGGTAGAGTCTATTATGCACCGTACTTGTACTGTATGCATGTCACATAGGATGCAATTGTGTGCTTTATTGTACCATGAAACCTGCCTGTCAATTTAAATAGCTTCGATGCATGCATGGATTATGTGTTAATCACATATCTTATTTGCTATGGAGCACCGACACGTCCCCAGGCACTGCGTACGAGTGTTAGACACGTGTCGGACATTGACACACGTCTGGCACGCGTTAGACACATGTCCGACACTCTCTCTAACGTGTCTTTTTTTTTTTTTGAAATCTTCTAGTCGGACACGCCATGGACACGGCGGGACACTTTCCGGACACGCCTGAGGGGGATCGAAAAGCCCTAACTGTTGGAGAGGAGACAGAGAAAGAGAGAAGGAGATCGACGGAGACAGGGAAAGAGAGAAAGAGATCGACGGAGACAGAGAAAGAGAGAAAGAGATCGACGGAGACAGAGAAAGAGATCGACAGAAACAGAGAAAGAGAAAGAGATCGAGGGAGCAGAGGAGAGAGAAAGAGGTCGAGGGAGAGAAGCCTAACCTGTTTCAGATCAATCCAAGAAGCTGAGGTATTCTACTTCTTCTCTTCTTCTCCTTCTTCTCTCCATCTTCTCTGGTTTTCTTCTCCTCTTCAATCTCTTCCTCTCCTCCCTTTTGTCTCTCCCTTTTCTGACTCTGTCTATCTCTGCTTTTTGACTTCACTCTCTCTCCCCTCTATTTTCTCTTTTATATTTTTTTTCTACGTTCTCTCTCCCTTTCTTTTTTTTTTCTTTTTTCTTTTGTTTTATACTTATTTTTTTTTTGTTAAACTTAAAATTCATAAAATAAATTATTTTTATTTTAAAAACTCATTTTTTATTTTTTTCTTTTTTCTTTTGTTTTATACTTATTTTTTTTTGTTAAACTTAAAATTCATAAAATAAATTATTTTTATTTAAAAAAACTCATTTTTTATTAATTTTTTTTTTAAAATTATTTTTTAAATTTTATTATTATTGTGATTATATAAGAATTAATGATTTTATTTTTATTTTAGACATATAATAAATAAATAAAATTATATATATTAAACGTGTCCCTAGCGTGTCGTGTCCCCTATTTTTTGAAAAATTGCGTTTTCGAGTGTCCGTGTCGTGTCCCGTGTCCGTGTCCGTGCTACATAGCTTATTTGGATGCCACATGTATGTATATATATGCTCTTTTTACCAATCATGTCTATAAGTTTGGAGTTGTACCAAACACTTAATGCATGCTGCATTAAATCTTTCTATTGTAATGCTGTTTCACTGTGATGATTTGCAGCCCAAGTATATTGATGTTATGATGCCGCCATTAATTGCAAAGTGGCAACAACTTTCAAATTCAGACAAAGACCTTTTTCCCCTACTGGAGTGCTTTACATCAATAGCACAGGTACCTGAGATTGTTATACTTTTGCTATGTTTTGCTTATTCAGGAAAGTTTGTTTATAAACAGTGGCTATTTTCTTTCACAAGTAATTTCATGCATCAGGAGAAAAAAACAGTTAAAAGCTTTGGCTATTTTGCTTTCAAATCAATTATAATCCTAGCTGTATCGACGTTGAACCATAAGTGCTTTGCATGTTAGATTCAAGGCATGATAACTCAATCATGTGCAAGGCACATAGTAGTACGCAAACCAGTAGGTAGTATCCTGTAGATGAGATTTAGAGACTGAGAATCTCGGTTCATTGGAGGCTTGCAGGGATTAAAATGATTAGCACAATTCTACTGTGGTGAGAATAGTCGTGACTGGTGGAATTATCAAACTCCACCTAATCATAGAAATGCATAATTGCCCCTCCTTGATAAATCAGTGAGCTCTAAGAATATTGTTTAACAGTTCTATATGGAAATTGGCATTTGTAGATAGATTATTTATTGAGATATCCAAGGTGGTTTTCTTTTTGAAGTGATGCTAATTAGGCTGTTTGGACATATTTCAATATACAATGGTATTACCAGTTTCATAATTTCTTAGCTGAGAACAAATAATAACTCCCTCCTTGGACGAGCACGGGGCTTAGTCAAGTAGAACCGGGTTGCGCTGCTTGATGCTCCGATTGAAAACAAATTAGTGGGCCCATGCTGGTACTACTGAATAATATGCGTTAGAAAGGTCTCTTGTAATTCATCATTTCTGCTAATAGGCAGGCACTAATGGGTGGAGTGAGCCAGCAAACCCCAGTTATAACTGCCTGTGCATTCAATTCTTTTAGTTGCGCCTATACTGAGAGGTTCATGAACTTCTTTTGATTTAGTTTGAGAAGTATTTTCCTTTGGACTCATTTTTTTAAGTTGCAGTGACTTATTCTTCTTCTTCTTCTTCTTCTTCTTCTTCTTCTTCTTTCTATTTTTTTTTTTTTTTTTGGGGTCTGCGTGTGTGTCTTGATTTCTGCATAATTATCTTGAGTAATAACTATTTTTGTTATTTTTTTACCGTACCAGTACCTGCGCTTGTGCTGTTTCTGCTTTTTTCAGGTGTCTGTGATTGGAGGAAAAACTTTGTTATATAGACATAATGACCATGAATTATGCTAAAATAATAATGACCAGGAGTTCAAGTGGTAGAATAGTATAATGTGTTTTGTACTTTCTTTCAGGCATTGGGTACTGGATTTTCGCAGTTTGCTCAACCTGTATTTCAGAGGTGCATAGACATCATCCACTCCCAATATTTGGCAAAGGTTTCTATAAATATGATAATTTGATTCTTTTATTAGTTTCAAATTTGTGTTTCATTGATAAATGTTATTATTATTAATATTTTGAAGTCTGTGTGATGCCTTTACAATATCAGTCATCATTTTGTGCTTAAATGTTCTTCATGCCTTTTGGTAGAAAGAAAACATTGTTAGACCATCCCCAACCTAGCACCTTTTGTTTCATCAGGCGCCTTTTGTTGCATCAGGTGCCCTTTGTTGCTCCAACCCTATCACCAAATAAGTATCAAATCCAGGATTTCTCAAATCGTTCATCAAATTAAGGATGGATGTGCCTACCCTATCATCAAATAAGTATTAAATCCAGGATTTCTCAAATCTTTCATCAAATTAAGGATGGATGTGCCTACCCTATCACCAAATAAGTATTAAATCCAGGATTTCTCAAATCTTTCATCAAATTAAGGATGGATGTACCTTTCATTAAATCACTGTTCATAGACGTTGAAGCTACATGTCATTTTCACCATCGGACAATCGGCCGGTTGTCGCCCACAATGATCACCACCTTGCAAAAATTTGTGAAAAAATTACATTGCCCGGTCGACTGGTGTGTTGATGAAAGTTCAAAATCCTCCATTGGAGCGTGTGATATCAGATGGAGTTTTTACTTAAATTTGGTGAAAAAAAAGATACAGCGTTGGAAATGCTCTTACATGGAGTCTCCGAGACATCGGTCTTGTATATTTCGTTGAATTGCAAGTTCACATGCATGGAATTTGCTTTGATGTGTAAAAATGAAATTCAAGGATTTTTTTCCCTTTCCATCGTTGGGAGATTTTTTTTTTTTTTTGTAAAGCCAAGGAGGCTGCAAAGACAATACAATTTTCGGGAGGGGAACATGATCAGCTGATGGGAGCATGGCTTTCTTCAAGGGAGCGTCCCCTATGATATTATATTAGTAAAGAGCCCTTGGATTCACCTTTTTCTCTATGCCCAAAACCGAAACACAGTCAAGCCATAAACAAAACATAATAAATAAGACGAATGCATGAGCTCTTTTTGAATCTCTGCATCTTAAAGTGACTTGATAGGATTGTTTTACCAATCTTACACTACATAAGAAATCATTGGAAATAAATATTTGAACTTTATAATTCAAGTTTTTTTGGCCTTTCTCTACTGCTTTCTTCTTTCCTTGGTCCTTTTGTGGTTCTCAAATGGTCAATTTTGAATCCCCCACCAACAGACTTTACAAACCAAGCTGGCTTGCCATCTCCATGAGATTTATGTTAGCAAGGATCAAAATTTTGTTTGGGTTTCGGTTACCCTGTAAGCAAAATATTTTGGAAACTTTTGGGAAATGTTTTGGAAACATAAGGGAAATGACAAGTATTTGCAAACATATGAAAATGTTTGGACATAAAAACTAAAAACCTATATAACTGTTAATAAATTCACAATAATTAAAAAACTGAACATGTTGAGGTCTATGAATATTAGCTCATAAACAAAAGGTTTAAAGGCTTAGTTAAGGATGCAGGGGTTGCCATTGTAAGAAAAAAGATCAAAAAAATACAACCCTAGTAGTAGTAGGGATGAAAGAAGGAAAAAATGTACCAGTGACAATATTTATCAAAAAAAAAAAAAATACTATTTGGGGTAACAAAGAAAGAGAATAAGTGACTCAATCTTGTTTGTTTTAGCTTCTCAGATTCTCTAATAAATTTAATATTTTTCTTTGTTCTTAAGTCTTGTTTTTTGACAAAAAAGAACCAAATAGAAATAACCTTTGTTGGGTATTCATAACAGGTTTCAAAACAAGTCATTGCTTTGGTACTATGAAGCATGGACACGCCAAAATGGAAGCCGTGGCGGTGTCGGATACGGGGACACGGGGACACGTACGGGACACGGCATCTGGCGTGTCCCCTTAATGTAATTAATTTTTTTGAGAGGGACACGGCGGGGACACGCGTGTCCAAATCTGGACACGCCATGGGACACGGGAGAAGAGTAAACGAAAGAGAAAAGGAGTACAAACCTGGTCGGCGACTTCCCAGCCTTCGATCTCGAGCCAATCGACCTCCATCCAGTCCATTTCGACGAAAGGAGTACAAACCTGGTCGGCAACTTCCCAGCCTTCGATCTCGAGCCAATCGACCTCCATCCAGTCCATTTCGACAATCCAGTCCACTTCAACTCAGAGCTTTCTCTCTCGCTTTCGGCTTCGCATTTGCAGAGCTCTCTCTCTCGCCTTCTCTCTCTCTCCCTCGCGATCGCGATCGCTTCTGTCTCCTCCTGTCTCGCTGATCGCGATCGCTTGTCTCCCTCTTTGTCTCTTCTGTCTCTCGTCTTTATCCTTGATTCATATAGGAGTATAATGTATGTAACTATTATTATAATAACTATTATTATTATTATATATTATATAATAGTTTTTATATAACTATTACATTTATTGTTTACCATAAAACCCAAATTACCCATTACCGTGATCTCATTCATCAAATTGCTTACAGAATTACCCGACTAAAATTAGCCAGAAAAACTACTGCTCGTGCTCAGTATATTAACTACCATCAGATTCAAGCTCGTCGCCATTTACTTGCTGATTATTACAATTGTTTGGATTATCATCAAGCTTATTTAGATCTCCTCAGTGGTTGTTAATCTTCATTGCTAATCTTTGTTTCTATTAAACAGATGTCTCGTCTCAGGCCTCCTTCCAAAGCCTTGGTCCCATTTGGTCAACATATTGTTCCTCCACCTTTGGAGCTAGTAACTCAATACCATCCTATTGAAATGATTAACCGTTACCAAGTTCTTGGTAACATTTCTAAGCCTAGTTACACATCTGCTTTGGCTACTGATCCCTTTGCTTCATCCAGTCAAGCAGTTACTCCATACCGTCCTAATCCTATTAAAACTGCCCGATCTGATTATGTTAAATCAACCACTACTAACCTATTCTTCAAATAACCCAGTCACCCAAAGAGTCAGTCTGTTAATGAGCTGGTTAGATCTTATTTCCCTCCTGGATGGCATTTTGTTCCCCTCCATCTAGAAAAAACAGTCACCTTCTATAAAGAAATCCTGTTTAACCATCAATCCATTGTGATTGAACCTATCTATGATCGTATTTACTTTAGTAAAGTCGTTTACCATTCCCTTTATATTCATAACATTATTTCCCTGGCTGAATGGGGTTCTCCTTATCAGCTTCGAGATTTACCTAATCACTCTCTTCAGTGTAGTTATTATGACTATATTGATGCCTGCTTCAAAATATTCCTATATCAAACTGAAACCTTTAGTCACTTTTGGTTCATTCAGTTTGATCAAAAGTTTAAATCTGAACTACCTACTTGGTTTCTGAGATGGTGGACTCATTATGGCGCCATTTTAGATATCTTCCCAGCTATTGTGCTGGAACAAGCTAACTATTTTTCAACTGTTTTTTCATTCACTCCACAACAAAAGAAATTTCCTAAACTGCTCATTTTTATATCCAAATATAGGATCCCTTAGATATTTAAATGGCACTATGACATTTCTGATGATGTGATTCAAAGGATACATTCAGTTAAATGGTGGGATAATTACAAAATTCCCCGCATTGTTGAAATTATTCAAACTGAGTTCCCGATTAACATTCATGCTCCTACACCTGCCATGGTTAAAGCTCAGCAAATCCTAACTGCTTCAATCACCCAAGGAAGCCAACTTCCTACTGTTAATCTTGGAAGCCCAACTTCAAGTTCTTCCAAGTCCAAGTCAAAGGCTAAATCAAAGACAGCTAAGCCCAGCTCTGTTCAACCCAAACTATCGGATAAGCTCATTTCCAAGAATAAATCAAAATCCAAGGCTCAGTCCCCAGCTCTTGCTTCACAAGCTCAGCCCAATGTTAAGTCCAAGTCATCCAGAGATGAACTTCTCAAGATGGCCCGTCTGCTTGTTGATCAGGCTGAAGCCCAATAAGATTCGGATAATTCGGATAACAACAATTCAGAAGAAAGTTCAGATAGTTCAAACTCTTCTGAAGGTTCAACTACTCAAAACCCATATGGACACGAGTTTCAAGATGCTCAGGACCCATATGCCTAGTCAGCTCTGCATTGGATTCCATATACATACAAATTAGCTTCAACCAATACTCTTTGAGAAAAGCTGCCAATTTGTATTTATATTGATTCCTTTATTAATGTCTCCACCGAAAGTAATGAATAGTAAAAAGGCACTATTCACATTTACTGTTCATCACTCGATTAATCTGCTAAAAGCTACATCAATTTTTGTCAATCAGCCGAAAGCATCAGACAGCCTGCTTTTGCCTATGTGCTACCAGCTGCTCTCTTGATCAAATCCAAGTCACATGCTGCATAGTTAATTTCCCTTTCTATAAATTGTAATGGTTAAGTCATTTGTAGGTAGAGGTTTAAAACTGAAAAGTTCTGTGTGAGAACTGAGTGAGAACCAACACCTAGTCAACTAGTCAATCTGCTTTTGTTTAAAAATGTATTTTGAAGCAATTCAGTACTACTGCAACTGCAACGTTTGTTAAACAATTGTAAGTTATTATTGTATTGTATTAAAATGCTTTAAATATTTTAATACTTTGTGCTATTTCAATTATCTGTATTTCCTTGATTTCCATGCTGCTTCTTCTTCTCTATCTCTATCCCTGCTTCCGTTCCATTTGGTATCCGAGCCAAGTTATGTTGCTATCATTTGCTTACTGTCTAGTTAATTCTGTTTAATTGTTTTCTCTATTTTCTGTCTGTTAATTTGGTTTCAGTTTTCTTAATCTGTCCAAAATTCTATCTGTGTCTTTCCACTTTGGAACTAGCCACCTAGTCTTCGTCCCAGTCCTTGGTAAGTCCTTTGGTTAGGCAATGTTGGATTTAGGGGTCAACCGAAATGGGTATGCGTGAAACCAGAGTATGTGAAAGCATGATAAATTTAGACAACGTATTAAGATTTCTGTAAAACAGATTAATTAACAGAAAAATGAGTCAATTATT